AGCCCCGGACAGGAGCATCCAGCCCCGCTCCGTCCGCGGCCCCCGGGGCGGCCGCTGGGCTCTGAGCGCCCATCCCCGTGGAACGGGCCCCGAGCACCAACAGGTGGTTTGGCACGGATGCTTTCTCTTTTCTTCCCTTTTCCGTTTTCTCCCCGCACCCCATTCTGTCAGATAATTTTCCTGGTTTGTTCTCTAGGAAGTGAGAACCGCCCATGGCTTTTACACCTCCTGCTCACCAGCTCAGGGTGCAGCCCTCCATCTCTGGGAGTGTAACCACTCACCCCTGGGGCTGTAACCCCATACCAGGGATACTCACAGAGTGTGAACCCCTACTCGTGTGTGTCACTGAGCTGCTCTTCCACAAAGCCACGATTCCACCTCACACAAAGACATAATTCCATCTCAAAAGTCACCCAGCTGGAGATCTTCTGTCCCACGAGGAACTTGTAAAGGCAGCACACATGTAGCTGCTGTCTGGGAGGGAGGTGGTTTGCGGGGCCCCGTGGCGATGCCTCGTAAAATCTGCAAAAAAATGAACAGAAAGAGTGATTCGAGTGTGTTGGCAGCACCCGGGGTTGTAAAAAAGGGGAAGTGGCTCACCTATTTTGTCTGCAATTTCTAGTAATAGTTGCAAAACTCTGTTACCTTACAGTGAGTTAGGTGGTGCCCAGGTTAAGGCATAGTCGTACATTTGAAATCTTTGGGGTTTTTTTATGCATATCAGGAAATAGAGATGGGGTGTTAAATATACTGAAGCTGCTGCTGGTTGGGGATGCCACGCTCCAATATTTATATCCTGTATTCTCAGAAATTGAAAGGATATTAAAATACAGATATTTTTCTTAGAAATAGATATGTCAGATACTTTCACTAGGGTTTGAGTTTTTGGCCATTTTCAAAATACAACTTGCTCAAAGGCAGCGATTCTCTGGATTTGGCCAAATTACCATGAAATTTCCATGAAAACATCTAGTAAAAGTGTTTAAGGGTAACTAAATGCCCTTTTCACTCATTCCTCAGTTGCTTTCTTATTGGGATGACTTTCAGGATTTAGATAAATTTCAGAGCAGAAGAGCCAGTAGGCAACTGATGGAATTATTTCTGCAGGGTTTATGGGAAGAATAACTTCTGGATTAGATGTTTCAGTGTGATACTCCTGAATTTTGAACCTTCATTAAAGATAGAATGTGGTGGGAGCAATAAACATTTGCACTACTGGCTGAAAATGTGGTTTTTGAGGCACCAAGTTTCTTAAGTTTCCTTCCCTCTAATTTCAGATCAAAAATGTTCAAAACAGGAAGTTTGACTTGTACCTTTTATTTTGTAAGACTTTTCCCTGCTTAGCTTAGACTGGTGATATTTGTTGTTAAAATCTGAACTCTGTGATTAAGCATCAGTTAATGGGTTTGGGCTCGTGCTTGAGGATTATTTCTAATTTATAATGTTTGATGTTCCTCCCTTCTTTCCTGCCAGCCATGGCCATGACAGGTCCAACGCCGTGCTCATCCATGAGTAACCACACCAAGGAGAGAGTCACCATGACAAAGGTGACATTGGAAAACTTCTACAGCAACCTCATTGCCCAGCACGAGGAGCGAGAGATGAGGTAAAAATCCTTCTTGTTTCCCTTCCATACTGGATAAGAGCCAAAATTTATACTGAATGAATTTTGTTTTCAAAGCAAAAATAATAAAATCACAGACTGGTTTGTACTGGAAAGGACCTTAAAGTTCATCCCATTTCACCCCCTACCATGGGCACACCTTTCACTATTCCAGTTTATTCCAAGCCCTGTCCAATCTGGCCTTGGACACTCCAGGGCTGGGGCAGCCACAGCTGCTCTGGGCACCCTGTGCCAGGTCCCCATCACCCTCACAGGGAAGAATTCCTTCCCAATATCCCTCCTAACCGTGCTCTGTGGCAGTGGGACCCCATTCCCTCCTGTTCTGTCCTTCCAGGGCCTTGTTCAAAGTTCCTCTACAGGTCTCTTGGAGCTGGACTCTCTTGGAGTCCCTTTAGGCACTGGAGGGGGCTCTGAGCTCTTCCTGGAGCCTTTTCCTTTCCAGGCTGACCATTCCCATCCCTCCCAGCTTGGCTCCAGCCCTCGGAGCATCTGTGGTCTCCTCTGGACTGTCTCCAGCAGCTCCAGGTCCTTCCTGTGCTGGAGGCAGCTCTGCAGGGGGGGTCTCACCTGAGCAGGGCTGAGGGGCAGAATCCCCCCTGCCCTGCTGCCCACACTGGGGGCTCAACCCAGGGCTCAGTGGGGTCTGGACTGGGGCATGTCCAGCTCTGCCTCACCAGCACCCCCAAGTCCTTCTCCCAGGGCTGCTCCCAATCCTTGCTCAGTGTTTGTGCTGGGATTGCCCTGTTCCATGGGCAGGACCTACAGGAAGACAGTCAAGAAGCCTGGGAGGGGGTGTTGTGAGGAGTCAGTGCTGCCTGTGACTGACTGCACCTGGGGCACCTCTCAAAGTTCTCCAGTCCAGTAGAACAAAGGACTGGACTGAGCTGTGTGATTTTCCTTCTGCTGGAACCCTCTAATTTGCAGAATATCCTCAAGCTGTAGCACTGGGACTTCTGCTGTTCTCCCAGCTTGCCATGGAGTCTATAACCAGAATTTGGAAAGTGGTTCAGTGTGGGTTTGGCTTTACTGCCAGACCTGTAACGAGCTCCCTGAGGAGCTCCCCAATGCCTGCTCACTACAAGAGCTGCAGAAATGAGGAAGCAATTCAGAAATAAATATTAACATGCAAAGATATTTTCTTCAAAGCTTCAAATGAGTAAAGAGAAACTGAAGTCCAGTTTAGGCAGAAAATACCTCTTATTTAATTAATTTCTTTCTCTTCACACAGCTCTTGCCTTTAAAATTTACTTATTATGTCCACTGTTGTGTATTCCCAAAATATCAATGTTTTTTTTTCTGTTTAGGATCAAGACCTTGTCTGAACAAACAGACTGGACTTTATAAGTTACATGTTTTTTGCTACAACAGATATCTGTGTGTGTGTAATTTGGAATTTAAATGGTGTTGACACTGTACCCTGAAGTGCACCTTGACCCTATTAGAGATATTTGGGGGAAATTCAGTGTGCCTTTGGCATCACTGAGTCCTGCTGAGCCATTTAATTCTGTTTATTGCACGGACTTTACTACTAGAGTTTCTGTTTTGAGTGTGGATTGGGATGACTGGGCAGGGCTCACTGGTGCTTGAGCAAGAGCATTTTCATTGTGACCAGTTCTGAAGTGATAACCTCAAATATTATCATGTCACAGCAGCTGCAGAGAGCCCCAGGAGACAGGAAGAGGATCTTGCAAAGAATGACTTCAAGAAAGAGAAAGAATTTTTTTAGTACATTTATAATGTCCCAAACCACTGGTCCCAGTTCAGCCAGCTGTTAATACGACTGGCACTGGGAAAAAGTTCCCAGAGGATAATCATTACAAGTGTCCCCTGAAGTCATTCCCCTTCCAAAGTCCTGCTTCCTCCTTTCTTTTCTTCCGAATAATCCTTTTGTAATAAGGCTGTAAATATTTCTGATTCTTTAAGAGGGAGAACATGTACAGACAGGTTTCCTCTTCCCAACTATTTTGAGTATCTCAGGGATTAGGAAATCTAAAATAACTTTTCTCATTTTTCATGTGAATAGTTTGAGATGCAGAGAAATTTTAAATGTGTTTGAATACCAGTTTTCCCTGGAATAAGTGAAATTTTGGTGTTTAAATGCTTCTTATGGCCCTGACCTGAAGTGACTTGTCCAGCTGTCAGAGAGATAAGAACAGAACCCAGATCTCTCAATTTGTATTTGTGTACAGCAAAAATCTACACTTGGAAAACTTGTGAAACTCAAGGCAAGTTTAGTTTATTAAAATCATAGAGGGTAAGGTTGGAATTATAAAACTGGATAGTATATTCTACAAATTAATTTCTGGAGTCTCTCCTGTACATCTTTACTCTTGTAACTTGCTGGCACAGACCAGAGGTTGTGGGTATGTGCACCTTGTTAAGAAACAACGTTAATGATTCAACCTGGGTTTTTTTAAAACTTGATTTAAAAAGCAAGGTTAATGATTCAGCCTTTATTTTTCTAATTTGTCTCTGGTCTAGACAAAAGAAACTAGAACAAATGATGGAAGAAGAAGGCCTAAAAGATGAAGAGGTAATGAATATGGAAAAACTACCTTAATGGTTAAATACCAGAAATTTTCTTTTCTAAATGGAGATCTGGGATCTTTCCTTGGAATTGCTGTGGTCCCTGTGGAACCCACCTGCAGAACTCTCACTGGGGTCTCTTAAACTCTAGAAAAGAATCAGGAGGTCAGCACATGCACAAAAGGAGACCGAGTTCCTTCGCCTGAAGAGAACCAGGCTTGGACTGGAGGACTTCGAGTCTCTAAAAGTAATAGGCAGAGGAGCATTTGGAGAGGTGAGTCCAGAAAAAAAATGTTTTAACTGGCTCTGGTGTTTGTTAAAGACTTGCTGAGTTTATACAAGCAATAGGTAAGTGTAACAACCACAGATGGACTTCACCTCAGCAATCATGTGCAGCTACTTTTTACCTGCTAAATGCTGGTTCAAGACATGCTGTGCCTTAAAGGAAATGAAATGATGTTGAAAAGGACCTGATGGACAGCTAAATACAGGTTTGCAGTGGGTTTTAAAGGTGAACTTCTGGGGCTGGACTTAGGGAGACACGGAGGGTCCTTGCAAAGTCTCTTCAGAGAAGGGGCTTTGGCACCTGCTTTAGGTGTGAATCAGCATCCTCTCTGTGAAAACAACTGCTGCTCTTAGCATTAATTAGCAGGACTTTGTGCCATTGCTGTGCACTGTAATGCTTCTTGTGTTTTATAATCTGAGATGATTTCATGAGATGGAAGCCAAGGGCTTGATACCCAACTTTGTCATGAGTTGTGCTGGGAATGCTGGATTTGAGCCAATCTTTGTGTGCCCCCAGGTGCGCCTGGTCCAGAAGAAGGACACGGGGCACGTTTATGCCATGAAAATCCTACGCAAGGCTGATATGCTTGAGAAGGAGCAGGTGAGGAACACCCCGAGCAGGAATTGTACCGTGCATCACTCTGGGAGGTCACTGTGGTGTGTGCATAGGAGGAATAAATCTGTGCTTTAGTTTAGGAGCTAAAAATTCTGGGTTTTTTTTTTTACATCTTTTCTTATAGAGGAAATAAGTCAGAAAAATCTCTGAATTCACAAGGACTTCTTTTCTAGTGGGCTCTTTCAACACAAATTACTGTGCAAATGATTCAGTGCAGACTTCAAGGCTGGGGTTTTGCTGCATTTCTGACTTACAGGATCAGATATAAATATCAGAGATACAACTGCTAGAATTCAGACTCAGAGACATAAAGCAGCAGCATTTAACATTTTAAAGGCTTTCATTTTCCAGTACTTCTGGATATATACTGATGTGGGACAGTCACCTGTTCAGCACTGGGATGAAGCTCTTGTGTTTTCAAAAAGAGATTTAATGATTAGGTATATTTGTAAAGAACTGAGATTTTTGTATATAGGATTTATATAATGTATAGGGTTACTAGGTGTATATATAATAGGTATGAAAGATATGTATATAATCAACCACATGTTGAAGTTCTGACAGTGTTTCTGCCTTTGTGCAGAAGTTTGACTTTTGTCTTCCAGTATTTGATGCTGTTCAGAACAATAATTGAATTGCCTGTGAAATAAATGCATTTAATAAAACTGATCCAATGCACTGTGTCTATCCAGGTTGGCCACATCCGTGCAGAGCGGGACATCCTGGTGGAGGCAGACAGCTTGTGGGTTGTGAAGATGTTCTACAGTTTCCAGGACAAGCTAAACCTCTACCTGATCATGGAGTTCCTGCCTGGAGGTAACTCTGGAATGCAAGGGCTGCTCACCTGTTGTTTGGGGAATAATTTCTTCATTACAGAGTCTGGGACTAGAGTGTACGTGGTTGCCCTGCAGTGGTGTTCGTACTGTACATCTGGGAGGGACCAAGATTTCTGCTTTTTAGGGCACTGAGGTGTTTGGCAGGCTTGAGGTTTCCTGTTTAAGCTGCAGGTGTTTAAACTTGGCTTTAATATTCTTCTAGTTCCTACCCTGTCTGTAGAGCCACAGCATATCCAGGTCAGGCAACCTCTAACCTGCTGGTTTTAGCTGAATGCAGCAGAAATAGCTTTTTTCTATAAATGTCTTCAAACTTAGTGAGAGTGGAGCCCGTGTGTTCACCTCTGGGGGGTTTCCAGGTGACATGATGACGCTGTTGATGAAGAAGGACACTCTGACAGAAGAGGAGACGCAGTTCTACATCGCCGAGACCGTGCTCGCCATTGACTCCATCCATCAGCTGGGATTCATCCATCGCGACATAAAACCGGACAACCTCCTCCTGGATAGCAAGGTATGGGCTGGCCACTGGCTGAGGAGGGGCAAAGAGGCCTTGTGATTGTTCATACTGACCTGAAGGGCTGTTGACAGTTGTGGAAGAAGATGGTGCTTCTTTATTTAGCCCTTTTGAGGGCATATCTGCCAAATTGCCAGGGAAAATCCCCAAAAGCCAGGAAAGACCCCAGCTCCACTCAGACCTTGAGCTCTTCTGACAGCTGTTTAAACTATTTTTGGCTATTTCAGATGCTGTTTAAAGCATGTGGTTTCAGTTCCCTCTTAGGAAAAGCTGCTTCCCTTTCCTCTCGCATGTGTTCCATTCCCACTTGCCAGTTCTGGTTGTACCAAATGTGAAGGATGTGGCTGTTCCAGTAGCCAGGCTGAGCATGGAAAATCTCCCTTGGGATCAGGCTGTACTCCTGAGGGCTGGCCAGGCTACCTGGTTATTGCAGGCACTTTGCAGAAATCTTGATTGTTTCAGTGTCCTCCTATTGCTCACTCCATGTTTGCCTAAAATCAAGATTTCTTGGGAAGAGTTTGCCAGCAGTAAATAAAGACCTTCCCACTACGGTGTAATGCACTGTTGGAATTACTGCAGAATCCCAGACTAGTTTGGGTTGGAAGGGACCTGGAAACTCATCCTATTCCACCCCCTGCCATGGGCAGGGACACATTCTGCTGTGCCAAGTTGCTCCAAGCCCTGTCCAGCCTTGCCTTGAACACTTCCAGGGCTGCAACAGCCACAGCTTCTTCAAGCAGTGTGTCCAATTCAGAATGTTTACATCTAGAAATGAATACATTTAGGACTTTCAAGAAGAGGTATATTACATATATACACTTCTAAAAATTGCACATAGTCAGTGTGGTCACATTATGCACCAGGACAGATTGACTCACTGAATTGAGGGTGTTTTTTTATCTCTTGGGGCCAATACACAACCCAGGGACTGCAGCTGCCTCTGGAGGTGTTTCCTTTCACCCTGAAGTAGTTGGGAACTTGCAGAGCAGAGGTTTCCTGAAGTAAACTGTCCCTGGGCTTTCTCTGTGGAGTAGCAATGGAAGTATTGATGGCTTCATTCCCTGTACACATGCAGTGCTAGGTTTAAACAAGAAAGGCAAAGGATACTGAGGAGCTGGAGCGTGTCCAGAGAAGGGAATGGAGCTGATGGAGAGTTTTTGGAGCACCAGGAGCAGCTGAGAGAACTGAGGGGGCTCAGCCTGGAGAAAAGGAGGCTCAGGGGGGGTCCTTCTTGCACTCCCTGACAGGAAGGTGCAGCCAGGTGGGGGTCAGGCTCTTCGGCCATGTCTCAAGTGAAAGAATGAGAGGAACTGACCTTAAGTTGTGCTGGGGAGGTTCATATTAGATATTAGAATTTTTTTTTCACTGCAGGAGTGGTTAGGCATTGTAGTAAGTTGCCCAGGGAGGTGGTGGAGTCACAATGTTTGGAAGTGTTCAAGAGGCATCTGGATGTGGCATTTGGGGACATCATTTAGAGGTGTTGATGGTGCTGCTGGGTTCTTTTCCAACCTTGCTGATGCTGTGATTTACTATGCTAATGTTTTACATTGGTTTTGCATTTTTGTTTTGTTTATTTCTAGGGTCATGTGAAACTGTCAGATTTTGGTCTGTGTACTGGGCTGAAGAAAGCCCACAGGACAGAATTTTACAGGAACTTGAATCACAGTCTTCCCAGTGACTTCAGTAAGTTCTTTGGCTCCAAAGGGTATCTGGTTGGTTGCTCTTGGGTCCTGAAACAAGTCCTTTCAGTGTGAGGGTGTGGCTGCAGTGAGAGTCTAATAATCAACTTTACATCTTGAGGTGGATTTTCATTTTCTGTAAACTAAAAATCATTTAAATTACTTTCAACCCATTTTCATTTCCAGAAGTTTGTCTCTGAAACAAACTCTGCTGTAGCCCTTTGCATGTGTAATAGAATGAGAACTCACTGAGTTAATAGCTGCTGGCTGGATCTCAAGTGTTACTGAAATTAATAAACCAGCACAGTCCCTGAGTATCCAGGGTTATTCTCGAGGGGAATAACTTGGATCATGGAGTTACATCAACCCTGAAATCCTGGTTTGCTAATAAAAGGCTCTGTTAGATGTTGTCCACATTTCATAGGTTTGGAAGTTGCTGAGAGGTTTAGGTTTGGGGTATTGACACACATCTTAAATGAGATCTTTAGTGTAATGGTTTGGGGTTAAAATATATTGGGTGACCAGTAGGATTCAGTCACAGGTGTTGAATCTCCTTCAGCTTTCCAGAACATGAATTCCAAAAGGAAAGCAGAGACTTGGAAGAGGAATCGCCGGCAGTTGGTGAGTGGGTTCCACCTGCTTGGAAATGTTCCTGCTGCGTTGTTGCATCCAAATGGAACGTGGATTTACATGGAAGTTTTCAATGTATCTGAGTTCTGGACAGTCCTGAAAGGAAAAGGTTCAGGCTTTTTTTAAAAAGAAGAGGAATTACTCTAGTTTGTCCTTCATCCATCTGCTGAACAGCTGGTGCCATATGTGCTAGTGATAGCGCTGCCATAATTACTTACAGGGATATCTGAAGTCTCCCAGCCAAAACTTTCAGTTCTTGCCACTTCCAATCTCACAAAGGGCTGCTGACACATTCCAAGGTGACCCATTCCAGGACAGTAAACCCTTCCCTGTTTTCTTCATGTTATTTTAAGACTCTCTCTCCCATGAAGATGTTGATTTTGTCTCTACATATCTTGGAAAAAAGGGTTTAAACACCTTTGCTAAAGGATCTCAGAGACAGTCTGGTGTCTTCCTCAAAATAACCACTGTTGTGTAAGTTCCCATGTCTATGTCAGGCAGTTTTCCCTGCAGATGCATAACTGATGTTATTGTTCCAGGCTTTTTCTACAGTGGGAACTCCAGATTACATTGCTCCTGAGGTTTTTATGCAGACTGGATACAACAAGCTGTGTGACTGGTGGTCGCTGGGGGTCATCATGTACGAGATGTTGATTGGTAAGGAACAGGCAGGGCAGGGCTGTAGGTGGGAATGGTGGAGCTGGACATCAGCTGTATTCATAGAATCCCAGAATTTTGGACTGGTTTGAGTTGGAAGGGAGCTTAAAGCTCATCCAGTGCCACCCTGCCATGAGCAGAGACAGCTTCTACTGTCCCAGGGTGCTCCAAGCCCTGTCCAACCTGGCCTTGGACACTTCCAGGGATCCAAGGGCAGCCACAGCTGCTCTGGGCAGCTTATTTCTGTGATTGGGGTCAAGTTCTCAGAGCATCCACTCCTTGCCTGGTCTCTGAGGTGTGTTATGATTTCAGGAATTAATTTTGCTTGATCCAAGACTGTATTTTTGTTTCTTTTCAGGTTACCCACCATTCTGTTCCGAGACTCCTCAAGAGACGTATAAGAAAGTGATGAACTGGAAGGAAACCCTGACATTTCCTCCAGAGGTTCCAATCTCTGATAAAGCAAAGGATCTTATTTTAAGGTGCCAGCCCCATAGTTTGCCAGTTAATACAGTTCTAATTTTCTTGTCTTGTCTCTGTATTCTGTGCCTCTCATGGCTTGTTTCATATGGAAAAACCCTGATGCTGCAAACTGTTACACACATGCATCAAATGCTGAACTCCCTTGTCAAATACTTCTGTCTCTCAGGCCATTTAGTGGTTCCCTGACTAAACTGTGCTAAAAAGGAGCTCCCATGGAAGTGCTACCGCGCTGGCAAAATGTTTCTGCTCCTTATTTTGCCTGCAAGCTTCTCATGGAAGGACACAACCCTTTTGACAGAGCTGACTTCTTGCAACAGCAGTGATTTTGCCTTTGTATGCACTGGAGCATACAAATGTATCCCAGTGCTTGCTGACTCATTTGTACTTCAGTATCTATTCTCAGGACAGAAATATAAATGTCTGGCTTTTTAGGCTTTATATGTTCTCCTGCTCTACTCTGGTCCTGAAATAGAAAGGTCACATTATCCTGTTGTGAAGGAACAGCACATCTTAACTGTGGCATTGGACATGACATTCCTATACATAATTTTGTGTGTTGGTTTTGCTGTGGAAGTTCTTAGTCTGTTCCATTTATATGTAAAGAAATGACAGCAGTATCAGTTCAGAAAGCTGTTCCATTTCTGCATGGAATGCTTTCGTTTTCATTCTCCCTTCATTTTCATTCTTCCTTCCATCCCAGATTTTGCTGTGAATGGGAGCACAGAATTGGTGCATCTGGTGTGGAGGAAATAAAGAGTAACCCATTCTTTGAAGGGGTTGATTGGGAGCACATCAGGTAAGATGCTCTGCAGAAAAGCATCTGCTCTTCTCTAGGGACTGCTCAGGCCAGCCCTGGTCTGCAGCATAGAGCAGCTGACTGGCTTTTGTCATATCCAGCTGTGGGTGAGAGCATTTTGTTCTCTACCTGAAGCTTGCTGAGGTTTTAGGTACCTTCAGTCTTGATTCTGTTAAGAAATGGAAGGTGGCTGAATCCTGCTTTGTCTGCCTTTGAAATCTCAATGCTCCATCTGCTCTTCTTGGCAGAGAGAGACCTGCTGCGATTTCAATAGAAATTAAAAGCATTGATGATACCTCAAACTTTGATGAATTTCCAGAATCTGATATCCTTAAACCAACAGGTAAGTGATTGTTTGATTCTCTGTGTAAACCTTCTTCTTCCCCTGTAGAATAATCCTTCCTGTTAGTCAGATCTTACTAGATGTTTTTTTTTTTTATCATGACCAAATAGCTTGGGAAGCCTTGTGGTGCAGGGAGTGCAAGCTGGAATTTGGGTTCCAGGAGATGCAGCCTTGTAAATGATGTGGGAATTGCCTGAGAAAGGGCAGCTCTCAGAGGCAGCAGAGCTTCCAGAAAGTTCAAACATCAGCAGGGCTGGAGAGTCCAATGCTGCAAGTTCCCCTTGGTGCTGATTCCTGCTGGCACTTGGAGTAGGGGTAAGGAAAGGTGGAACTGAAGGAGTTGTTTTGGTGTGAATCTCTGAAGGATCACAGCATAGTCACACATTTGCTCCACGAGTTTAAAAACAGAATCCCAGCCTGCTTTGGGTTGGAAGGGACCTTAAAGCTCATCCCATTCTACCCCCTGCCGTGGGCAGGGACACCTTCTGCTATCCCAGGTTGCTCCAAGCCTGTCCAGCCTGGCCTGGAACACTTCCAGGGATTGGGGCATCCACCACCTCTGTGGGCAACCTGTGCCAGTGTTTCACAGCTCACGCTGTAAAAAATTTCTTTCTGTGGTCTGAATCTACCCTCTTTTAGCTTTAAATGCTTGTGCCATGTCCTGTGTCCCAGCAGTTCTTTCCTGGGTTTGAAGCATGAAGTTGCATCCTGCCTTTAGGATATTTTTTTCCTTTAGAAACATCTATCCAGTGTTTTGTATGAATATAAACTCTGCAGTTCCAGAGGATAATTCTATTTCTTTTATGTCTTCCCAGTGGCAACAAGCAACCACCCAGAGACTGACTACAAGAACAAAGACTGGGTTTTTATCAATTATACCTACAAGCGTTTCGAGGGCCTGACGGCCCGAGGAGCAATTCCATCCTATATGAAAGGAGGGAAGTAACACAGCTTTACCTGGAACTTCTGAGCCATGGAATTCTGTTGCTGTACTTTGGGTTTATACCCATAAAAGAACTTGTTGTTTTTTTTTTAAAGAAAACTTGAGGGCTATCAATTCTTGGAGAAGACTTCAGGACCCTGTTTTGTTACACACCTGGTTGTTACTAAGGATTTTTTTTCCTGCACCATTGAAAAATTCCATGTTTGCATCATCTCTGCTGCCAGCACCTTTTGCTGCTTCAGGAGCAAGGGGTTTTTTTATATTCTTTGCCAGACTGTCCAGTCCTTTGGGAGATGAGAGCAAGCTTTCCCTTTGGCATTGCAAAGCACGGGATTCTATGACTGCATCCAGTCCTGCATTAAGTGACAAACTCACTCTGCCAATTCTGCCAGCACTGTTTGCCCAGTAGTTGAGGACTCCAGGAGAGAGGAAACAAAGCAATAATTGAAGCTTGAGACAGACAACTGTCTAGTAGAAGGACACAACTCGGATTGCCTTAACCTTACTTTGTATTGCTGTTTTTATAATGTTCCTTGGAAGCCTCTTCAATAGCATTTCTCAGCTCTGTTGCTGTGGCCTCCAGTTCTGGTGCACTTTACTTCTGGTACCAAGTGACCCTCAAGCCATTTAATATTTTTTCTAAATTAAAAGATTTTGCAACACTTTTTCTTTCCTAAATAGAGGAGAAACGGGCCATTTCCTCCATTGAGTGCTGAGTTTTTGGTTACTGTATGTCAGGATGGATCCATAAACAATGCAGATAAACTACAGCTGGCCACACAAGTGGGTCTGGAATTAGAGCAGAGGGAGGGAAATTCCAGGAAGCTGATCCTTGGTGGGCAAGTTGAGCACAGTTAAGCCAGCCCTGAGGCTCCCCAGGTTGGCTGCTGCTGTTTCTTAGCCACTTCTGAGCTCTGCTGCATCTTCAGTGGTTTAAAGGCCAAAATCCATCTTCTGTGGCCTTTTTGCTGTTGATCTTGAGCAGAACAGGATCAGACTGTTGCTGATGGAGGCCTGCCTGGTGTTCCCTCACAGAGCTGCTCTTGCTGTACCATCTGTACCCAGAGGGTTCCACGGATGGTGCCTCATGGGGTCACCTTTGGGGCAGTGGAACCCACCGTGTCCACTTGTTGATTGTTGCCTACTCTAATTTATAAAAGTACATTCAGTTCTGATCAAGGTCTCTTCAGGAGAGTCCCAAAGTGCCTTTCCCTGCCTAAGCCTCTCTCAGAAGACAGCAACATTTTGGGAGGGAGGATTCTGCCTCAGCTGAGCTCTTCCTAATTTAATTTTCCTAACCACAAGCTCCACTTTGTGCCCGTTTGTAGTTAACTCTGCACTTCCAGGGGCAGGTGGCATTAACCCTTGGGCCTGCATGGTTCCAGTCCTGGAATTTACAATTTTATTAATATATTTAAATTTACAATTAAAATACAATTCAGTGAGGTTTTTACAAGTGTGTCTCAATTCAAATTGTCTTGGATTCCTGCAAACTTTTCTTGGTGCTGAACACTAACTCCGGAGTACAGACAAGACAAAGCTCCAGTGATGTCTCACAGGAAAACAAAAGGCTTCCAGGTTTGTTTAGTCCTGACTTTCTTGATTAGAAAATGAAACAAAATGGATTTGTAGTGGAACTTTTTTTTTTATATAGGTGCTTTTAGGCAATGTTTACCTAGATGTCTCTTGACTCGAGTGCCATCCTGAAGGACTGGTGGGGGGCTGCCAGTACTGTACAGAACTCGTCAGGGTCCTCCCCTCACCACCCCTGTGCTTTTTGTACTTGTCCTACGAGTTTATGACTTGCCATAAGCAACTTGCCATAAGCAGTTCAGACAGCAGTTGGATCCTACCAAGCTGAAATGCAAAACTAGCCTTAATTAGAAGTCCAAGGATCTCTGTAGTCAGAAAGGCTCACTCGGATGAATGGGCTAAGGGAAGGAATGACTTACAGGATCAGGCTTTCATCAGCTCGTCCCTAGATCTGCTCCCTTTTGACTTTGCAAGGACTGATACCAACTTCTCAAACCGTTCCATCCTTATCCCTTTTGACTTTGCAAGGACTGATACCAACTTCTCAAACCGTTCCATCCTTATCCTGCAGTTTCTTCTAGCCATTTGAAAATGTTGCCTTATAAACCATTGGAATTAATTTAAGACCTTTTTTTTTTTCAATTTCTAACAGCTTAATTACTGCCTTAAAATAAAAATGAAAGTCAAAATCCTTTGAAGCTGCTGTGGATTAGGAGCAAATGATTATAGATAATAGCTGCATTCTTAGCCCTTTACTGAAAGGGACCAGCATTTTTATTTATAAATACCAAAGATGAAGAAGCTAAGCAATTTTAAGTTGAGTTGCTGTGAAAAAACAACTCTCTAGTACTGTGTATTGCGAATTTTTAGTGCTGTGTTTGAAGTGGGACCCCTCAGGTGTGGCACTGGAGTCCAAGGTGAAGTTTTCAAAGGCACAAGGAGCAGTTGGGTACCTCATTCCTGTTGTCTTCCAGCAAAAGTTGGATGTCTTTGAACCCAGTTCTGTTGGACACACCTTTGCAGCGGGAGGTTCTGTATCCCAGGTTCATTGTAAGCCTGCATCCTGTTCCAGTTTTTTATCAACATTAGGGAAAAAAACATCTATAGTGTCTCCTTCCCAGGATCCATACTTCACTGCTAACAGTAAGGATTTTGTATGACTGTTACATCTCCCATGGTAGCCAAACATTTTTACATTTTTTGTGTTTTGAGGTTTTTAGTATCTTTTTTTTTTTTTTTTTAAGCTGCAGTTGCTGGATTTGTAGAAGTAATTCCAATCTGAATTTCCAATGGATCTGAACACCTTATGCTGCCAGTTCATCTCTGTATCATGCCTAGCACAAAGCTGCACTAAGTGTTTCTTATCACTGTGCCCTGACTCTGCCTTAACCTTGAAGTTGAAAAAGTGTTCTGTAAATATTTAAAAGCTGTTACAAAATTGCACTGTACAATTTGGCAGGTGTAGTCAACTTTTAATGGAGCAATCTCATTGTGTTGTGTAAATAAAATCCTCTTAGTAAACACACTCTTGTTGGGATGTTATGTTCTACAAATAGGAATCAGGGAATCCTGGAATGGTTTGGGTTGGAAGGGACTTTAAAGCTCATCCATTCCCAGGCCCTGCTTTGGGCAGGGACACCTTCCACCATCCCAGGTTGTTCCAAGCCCTGTCCAGCCTGGCCTTGGACACTCCCAGGGATCCAGGGGCAGCCCCAGATGCTCTGGGCACCTGTGCCAGGGCATCACCACCCTCCCAGGGAAGAATTCCTTCCCAATATCCCATCCATCCCTGCCCTCTGGCAGTGGGAAGCCGTTCCCCTTGTCCAGGTTCTGATGAAGAGCCCTTCTCCACTTTTCTTGTAGCTGCTCCAGATAGAGGTGGTGCTGAGGTCTTCACACAAATCCCACCTTGCTTGAACTCTTACTGCCCTTCCCAAACTTCACCAAGAGAAGCCTGGAAGTACATCCAAAGCTGAAGATGGAAATGAAAGCCAGACCTGCTCCAAAGCTGTTTTTTGTGAAGTTAAGTAGATGAATTATCACTTTTCACAGCACTGACCAAAAATACTGGGGCTTGTTAGAGATGCTGCAGTTTGTGGGTCAAGGAGCATTCTCTGTGCTGCCTTTAGAACATCACTGCAATATGTGGGGGTGAAGTGAGCTTTGAGGTCCTCTCAGCCCAAATGGTGGGAACACTTCCCTGCCAAACTACTGGCTCTGGTGCCAAACTACTCCTCAGACTTCAGAATCACAACCTACGCTTACTTACTGAAGCAAGGAAGCAAAACCTTGTAGCTCTCTATGCCCTGCCTGTTCTCCTACTCCACATTTAAAACCATTTTTAAAGGAGACAAACAAGTCACATATAATTTATATTTTAATACAGAAAAGAAACCATACATCTGGGGTTCATACACAGCACAGGAGCACTTCAGTACATCTAGAGTAAGACAAAAGTTGACCTTGTACTTGAAGTAGGTGACTGTGAGAGGAGGAAAAGCAAACGCTTTTAAAATTTGATTCAGTGTTCCAATGGAACTCACTCTACTAAAAAAAAAATGTGAAGTCCAAAATGAGTAATTACTTGGGAAAGCCAATAAACTAGAGTGGCTAAGTGGTAAAAACTGCGTGGAAGTCATGGGAGCTGGATATGTCCATCCCATGCTGAACATCCAGTGGATTGCACAGGGAACCACAAGCTCGTACAGGCACCGACAGTCTGGGACTCCCAAGAGGGCCTGGTGCAGTTTAATAAATTTCCTGAATCCCTTGGCTCAGGGACACACTGGGTGGGATTTGGTTTGGTTGGATATGGTACTTCAGCTGTCAGATCCCAAAAGGTGCCGTTGAGGTACCTCTCAGCACCTGATGCCTTGACACAGTCCTGAGGAGGAGCTCTGAACAACACCCACACTTCAGTCCTTAGAGCAGAACACGGGGAACCTCCAATACCAGCTCAGCTGGGCAATACCAACACTCTTAAACCTGACACTGCTGGGGAAATAAATACACACTGGAAAACAATCACAGAGTGAGGGAGCCAGCACTGCTGAGCACTCAGGGCCTAGGGACAAGTTCTACCAGTGCTGGGCTCACCAGTGCTTGTGCTTGTCTCCAGGAACAGCTCATCTCCAAGGCAAGGAGTGGGGTTGGTCTGGCCCCTGGTGGAGGTTCACGGGCCATGTGTCTTCCTTTATCTACCACATAAATAGCAATTCATCTGGAGCAATAATGGAGTATCTGCACATCACCCCAGCTCTGTGCAGGCACCAAAGGACACTTCTCTCTACTGACCCTGACACAGAGAGGAGTTCTAAAGTAATCAAGTGGAATCTGGACAGCTGAACACCTGGAACTCTTAGGTGGTCCTGAAATCTTCCTATAGGCACTTCTTTTTAGAAGAGATCTATTTGCTGCACTTGGAAAAGAAGCTAAGAACAGAAACACTGAGAGAATGGAATTTGTATCCATACTAATGGAAACTAAAATGTGCTGTGGCAGAGATTTGTTACTTGCAACTGAAAATTTCTGCTTGATCCTGTTATGTTACTTGCACTGAAAACCACAAACATGTTAGCAGCAACCAGCAGCAAACTTCACTGCTCAATCTACCATGAACGTGGCAGTCAGGAGAACAATACAAATTTGCTTGATGTTGGAGGCCTGCCAAAACAGGATTAAACTTTCTAGGGCCAGACTGATACCTACACCTCAGTTTTGCCAAGTCTGACCACGTAACTCAACACCCAGGCAATCCAGGTTCCAACACCTTTGCCAGAGCAGCACTGACCTGCCCAGCTTTGTCAGGAGCTCTGTCCCTCTCTTTCTTCTTGAATAGTTTCAGCTTTTCTTTGCACCAGCACCACGTTTAAAAACTCTGGTTTGGGTGCACAAAGCCTTTACACAGCCATCAGAAGGGATGGCTTTTTGAGGCAGCCCCATTCTGACGAAGGGCAGAACTGTGCTCATCAGGGGTTAAGCAATAATGGAGTATCCAGTTCCTACAGGGAACTCCCACAGGGAACTCAGTGCTGCAGGAGCAGGACCAGTGAGGCTCCAATCCACCTGAGCTAAACCAGCCTGGAGTGTGCCTGTTCCTGAACCCAAATTCCCACAGCCTCACATAGATCAGGATAATACATTCAGTGCTGCAAAGGAGAGCTGTTCCTAGGTATATGCATTTTTCTCTACTGAGGGCTGGTTTACTGTTGGTATTTCTTACCTGCCTGACAGCAAAATGGTCCAGTCAGTCCAAATTGGGAGGAAAGTAGCTGGCTTTTTAAAGCTTCAGCAGCAGCTCCTAGGAGAGTCTACAGCAATTCTGACTGACTAAGGCTGATGAGACCAGGATTTTACTCATGTACTAAACTGAGAGCTCCTCCACTGGCTTTGTCTTAGCAAGGGGATGGAGAAGACAACTCAACTCAACTTCAGCATGCACAGTCACCTCTAGAAAGCTTCTTCTATCTATTTCAGTATTAACAGATTTATTTCATTGGTAAAATATTAGCTACAGTCTCTTGGGTTTTTCTTCAGCATGATCTACTCATTTTACTGAAATTAACAGAAAACATCCCTAAAAACAATGATTTCATCTCATGGAGAAGTACAGATGGGGAACTCCTGTGAACAGGCATATGCCTCCTATGGAACTGGTTCCTCCTTCCCTAGGGCAGCAGTACACCACGCTGGATCCAAAGCCAGGTGGCAGTGCAAACAGATTCCTCCGTGCTCAGGGTTTCGCTGTCACACTGTGCTACATTTCTGCTGGTTGATAGAGGGTATCATCTGTCCTGCTTTGATGTTCACTCCTCTGTGACTCACAAAGCTGTGCCTAATGGTAAAAGAAAGCTCTGTCTTGAGAGGCCCAGAATTTCGTCTCTCATGTCAAACAAAATGTTTCTACGCACTTGTGCTCTTCTTTCAGAAGTTTAGATAAAATATTCAGCACCCACAATCTGGAAGCCTTTGTAGTAGAAACAAGACGTCGTTTCTTTTTGTCTGAGGAGACGTTGCTTTTGATTGCACAATTAAGACTATGGAGTGTGGCTCTTTATTAACATGCTTGAAATATGACAACGTAGTAAGAGCATGAACGAGGATAAAGCACCTTGCAGGAGTCTGTGTCCCATCACCTGGGATGGATGGGAACTGCGGCAAGAGGTTCCCACATCCAGCAGGATTCTCCACCCTGAGCCACACTAATCCGGTAGATCGTTAACAACCATTTGGGAGAAGGGGGCATTCAGCCTGTCCAGTTCATCTACTTGTGGGGGGTGATGCATTATAACTTCATGGTCCTCTGAAACATCATCCCCCACCGTTACCAGGTTTGTTAGGGATTTGCTCCGAACACACTGGAAATCAACGTGGCGGCTCTTGCCCTCCTCCTTCTCCCAGGACATCTGGATGAACGGCCGCTGCACGTAGTTGTAGATCACCTCAGAGCGGCCACCAGGCCTCCTCTTCACCTTCTCCTTGCAGGTGGGATACCCTGGAAACACAGACACAGCCACTCAGCTCCACTGCACCTTTCTGTGCTCACTCACAAAGGGACAATGGGATTCTAGAACATCCAAGTAGGAGTGACTGTGGGGTCAGGGTGGGACACACACACAGCTCTGTAGACAAATGCTCAGATTCCACATTTAGCATTATTGGCTTGCAAAAGACTGCTCTCTTTTCCCCTGCAAAGGAGTTCTGAAAGGCTGGACATCCTTCAAGAAGGAAATCTTAAAGCTACAGAGTAGGTCATCCCCGTGTGCCAAAAGATGAGCTGGTGAGGATGAGAAGGAAAAAGGGGCAGATAAATCAGGAGGACTATGAGGATGTTGTGAGGTTATGTGGGGAGAAAATGAGGAGTCAAGGCTGAACATGAGCCCAAGTGGGCAACAAGGCCAAAGGCACCTGGGCTGTACCAGCCATGGTCTGTCCAGCATGCCCAGGGCAGTGATTGTCCCCATGTGCTGGGTACTGCTGAGGCATCTTGAGTACAGTGTTCAATTTTGGGTCCCTCACAAGAAGAATGACATTGAGGGGCTGGAGTGTGTCCAGGGAAGGGAATGGAGCTGGGGAAGGGTCTGGAGCCCCAGGAGCAGCTGAGGGAGCTGGGAAAGGGGCTCAGCCTGGAGAAATGGAGGCTCGGAGGGACTCTCTGGCTCTGCACAACTCCTGGACAGGAAGGGGCAGCCACAGGGGGATGGCCTCTACTCCCAGGGAACAGGGACAGCACAAGAGGAAACAGCCTCAAGCTGTGCTGGAGCTGTTTAGATCGGTTATTAGGAAAAATTTCTTTTCCAGGGCTGTCCAGGGCAGTAGTGGAGTCACCATCCCTGGAGGGATTTAAAAGATGTGTGGATGTGGCATCTGGGGATGTGGTGGGCTTAGCAGTGCTGGGTTAATGGCTGGACTCAATCATCTCAGAGGGTTTTTCCAACCTAAATAATTCCATGATTTTCTGACAAGAGGGTGCAGCACTGTGTGTAGTCAGTCTGCAGGTGTTGCAAAGCACCAGCCATTCTGTGAGCAAACAGAGCTACTATAAAAATAAGTCTCCCAGGACAGACCCCAGCATTCTCTAAGCTCCCTAAGGGAATGACTGGATCAGCAGGTGGAAACATCTGACTCCTGTTTCCTGTTTACTCACTCCTAAGGAGACAAGTTCTTCTCATACATGTTATGTACTTTTTCTTTCCTTTACCTTTCAAGCCCCTGGCCAATTTCAGTGGAACACGGTAGAGGTAGAGGAAAAACATGCTGAGTTTTAACCAGTTTCATAAAGATAAATGTAAAACACAGAGTAAACTAGGAAATGCCTGGAGCCCAAAAGAAATCAGGCTTTACTGACTGTGGAGTCACCTGGTTATGCATTTCCCTTGCTGAAGCAGCACTTTACCTTCGATGCCAATGCGAATGTTCTTCAGGCCCCGTTCCTTTAACACAGCTTTTGCCACATCCCGGTTCTCAATGTACTTGAAGAATCTGTACAGCTTGGAACTGTAAAGGACTTGAGAAATAAAAGGAGTGATTAGAATAGGAACCTTCTCCCTGCTTCTGACATGCCCTGCTGTGCCAAGTGTGGATTCCAAGAATTACTTCAGGTGTCTGTTTTCCTCACTGGGATTAATTGTACTTCCTTGTGGGAGGGCAGAGATGCACATCAGTCTCGATAGACTGGGTGGTGATGGGAGTGTAAAGCAAAGAATATTCCCTCACTAAGGAGCCAGGAAAAGGCTGAGGGGGAGGCAGAAACAGAAGGAACAGTGCAGTAAGTGCTGGGATCAGTTCTAACTAGCCAGGCATCCTGCCTCCAGCAGCACCAGCTCATGCAGAGCACACAAATAACGGCTCCACGTGCCAGCATCTCCGCCTGGAGGAAGCCAGTTTGGGAACATGTCCTTTCCTTATGGCTGGGTGTGTGTGGAACAGAGTGCAGAGCCCTTACTTTGTGAATACTCCTCTCCCATGGGAGGTGGATGATCCTCATCCCAATCCACGGTGTCCTCATCAGTCAGCACGACGATGTGACACTCGCGCTCCCCCTTCCTCGCGCTGTCAACCATGATGGGCAGGATCAGCTCCTCCAGGTAACTGTCGAACTGCTTGTGAGCCCCATCATTGGAGAGCTCATGTAACAGAGCACCTGAGGAGACACAGATCACAGGAGCTTTGTTACAACATGAAAATATCTCAGCTCTGAACTTCCCAGATCCATCCAAGAGCACAGCCAGAATTCCTCCTCAGACAAAATGCTCAACATATGTTCAGACACATCGACAGCCTCCAGATCCAGAACTGGCAAAGTCAGAAGTGCAGATTGCATTTCCAATGGGATGCAAATTGCACTGCAGAACTATTCCATTCCCATTAAAAACCCACCAAGCTCCAATCAATACAGTGAAACAGTAACAGACTGAATAATTAATTCAGTATGATACTTAACTTGAATTTCCAGTAAGAACCTCTGCCCTTGAAAGTACATTTTGCTGCCTTCTCTGTGATCACTCACCAGAGAACAGGGCAGGAAATTCCACCCACAGCCTGTTATGATACCACACACCCCATTTCGGTAAAGTACGTTTCACAGACCTGCCTGTGTTAAAAGTACTTGTTTTTGCCAGCATGCCCACCAAAAAAAGCTGCTCCAAATCAAATCCCTCCATGATCAGGAATTCTACTACTTTCCAGATTTGGCATCCTTGGTTCCTGCTCTGCCCATCAGCCTTTAGCTTAAATTATTCATGATTCTCTGGTACATTTTGGATAGGGGTTATAATCCTGCTTTTAGCCCTCATTTTGTTGGCAGTAGCAGCAAGCTCTGCTCAGCCCCTGTTAAAAAAAGGGACTAAAATGTTTATAATTTGCTTTTTGAGCAAAGAGCCTGTGTTCTGAAGGATTCAGTCACTCCACTTTGGATTGAAGCAGACAAAAGGAAGCTGTTTAAATGCAACTTGAGCTCCACTGAAATCCACTTGTTCATGCTTAAACTAAAGCATAAAATTAAGAACTGCATTGAATCAGGATCAGAGTGCTGAACGCCCTGCAGATCATCCCCTAAAAGCTAGTTTGTCTCCATACTTACTTAAATCTTGACATTTGATTGTGTTGAAATCAAAATTTATGCAGAGGTAATCACATGTGTCTCGAAGGTCTGGGATGGAAATCCCATCAGGGCAGTTAATGATTCCAGTTTTGTAATAATCCTGTGAATAAAAGGACAGCTTTTGGAGAGAAAAAATTAAGAACATCTTGGACTATGATAATTCCTAATTAGTTCTTTATTTCTTTTGTTGATATTGGAGAGATACTGAAAGTATAGCTCTGTGTACAGTAAAACAGCCCTGCTTGTCTGAGAATCGACATCTTTTTGCACATCCTCTAGGGTCTGATAACAGTGAGCTCCAGTTAAAACTTTTCCATGGCACAGGGTTTCATAACATCTGTATATGCAACCACAAGGTCAGGATACAGCTCAGGAATTACAACAGCAGGACACAGAAAAGGTAAAAGGCAACATGAGCAAATATCTGAAATGTGGACTTATACCAAAGACTGCTATATTTTTTCTTTAGAAATCACAATGCAAAATGTAAAACCAGAATGTCCCAGGGAGCTCAGCTGCCTGGAGCTGGCTCATCTGTGCACATGTGACAAAGAGATTGTTTCTTTCTTTTCTCCCCACCTGCAGAGCTGCCCTTACCAGCACGGTGCGGAACACGGCTGAGCTGATCCCTTCTGCGATCTCGTACTCGCCCTTCTCATTTGGCCGGGTGAAATTGTATTCTCTGCCTGGCCCAAACATTCTGAAGAGGTAAAGAATGATGTAAGTGCACAAGAACATCAAAATGCATTTATTCCAGAGACAAACAGGTGCACTGGGGTTTAAAGATTCTTTCCTGTGAGGCTAGGGAGGCCCTGGCAGAGGCTGCCCAGAGAAGCTGGGGCTGCCCCAGCCCTGGAAGTTCCAGGCCAGGCTGAATGGGGCTTTGAGTAACCTGGGATAGTGGAAGGTGTCCCTGCTTATGGCAGAGAATGACAGCTGAGGCCATTCCTTGGTTCTGTGATAAAGCCCAGCAGTGACACAGAGACAGAGTAACTTAAACCTCCACTCCAATCGCTTCCTTAGTAAATAAGGACAAGAGACGGCTCAGGGAGGTCTGGCCTCTGTTACTATGGCTACTGCACTCTAAGGAACAAGCCAAAGGAAAAGATCTTTCAGTCCTGGGGCAGAAAATCCCCCGGCAATAAAGCCCTTGCACTGACCTACACCAGATAACTCCATATGGCTTTTGATACTTTGTTTTACACATTAATCCATGCAAGGACCCAACAGAACCCTTTGGTCAGAGAGGGGGAAAATGCTGGCAATACAGCACATGAGGATTTCTTGGTGCAGCAACAGGCTCCAACCCGTCAGCAGGAGCTGAGTAACTTCTCTTTCGGGTGAGTATCAAGAGGTGGCAGCAGGAGAGGATGGAGCATTATCATATTCCCCATTCAGGAGGAAGATTATCAGCTGGGGACAGATGTACAGCTTACAGACCAGGCACACACTTGGGGAGAAGGCAAAAGGAGACCACCTTTGGCTAAAAGTGTGCATTTTTTGATGGACATGGACCAAAGGGAGACTTATCTAGAGAATTACCAACTCTCCATCTCTGCACATCTTCTGGGCCTCACTCACAGCCAAATTCAGACTGAGGTCATCATGTGTACAGATGAGATCACAAAGTAAACATGATATGTTTATTCCATTAAAAAAACATTTAGACTGCCTTGAGGTACCTTGAAGGTAACAGAAGTGACCCACCTTCCCAGCATGGTGTCAGGGTGAGCAGTAAAGATCTGGGGATTCACTGCAAAGCGGGTGCCATCCACCACCAGGGTCACTTTCTCTGGAGCTACTGTCTGGGAACTGCTGCTTGAAGACAATGCACAGCATCCATGGCGTTCCTGGGTATTAAAATATTCCGGCTGTCTCTTATTTCCATCTGGAATATGGCAGTTGTGAGGTTCTTCAGGAGCAGACAGCATGCTACTGATCTGGGGACTTACTGGGCAAGTGTTGTGTCGGCATTCAGAATCCAAACCTGAGGGACACAAACAAACATTGCAAAGGGAGGACGGAATTTATTGAAAAACATCAATTCATAGTAACACTTCCTACTGAAATGAGAAAACTGACTCATGTGATAATTAAGGATGCCATAACTGTCAGGGTGATGTTATATGACATAAAACTAGGCTGTTACTGAACTGAACCAGCAGCTGGATGTTTTGGTGAACAATGGTGCTTAATGTTCCTTGCTAAAGCAAGATGAATTCAGGTGCGAAAGGCAGGAGCACAGGAATTAAACAAGGCCAGAAATACAGACCCAGGCTGCTGGCTGCACTGCCACAGGAAGCTGAGCAGCAGCACACACCTCACCAGAGTGGTGCAAGGTAGCAGTGCCCAGTGCCAGTCCGTGGTGGGCACACAGGACTGCCCAGGTGCCTGCAGTGAATCTGATCAGGGCCAGCTCCAGGCTGACCAGGGCCTTCCCGTGGCATGGTCCTGCCAAGATGCTGAGCTCTGCTGTGAACTTCTGTCCTTTAGAGCAGCCTGGCACAGGCAGGGCACATACTCTCCAGTGCAAACTGCCCTGTGATACTGGAACATTTTCCAAAACAGAACACCCCTTAAAGCCCAAAAAAAAAATCTCCCCTAAAGATCACAAGGCTGGGGGCATTATCCTTACCCTCAGTCCTGGGAGCTGCAGGGCTGTGACCTCCTAACACCACAGAACTTTCTTCTGACTCATGGGCTGCTACAGTTCTGTTTTCCACAGGACAGCTGGACTCCAGATTTCTCAACCATTCTGTGCCCCCAGCACAGTTCCCATTCATGCTGGGCCTCCGTGCTGTGAGGAGTTGGTGGCGTTTCCTAAGAGAAGAGCTGGAGAGAGAATCCAGTTTGTTAGTTTTGGGAGAAATTCCCAAGCAATAAAGTAAAATCCCTGTATCTGGTATCACAAACAAGGTCCCTCAGGCTCAAAAGGCATTTCTTCAGGTATTTAACTGTTTCAGAGGCTTATGGTAGTAGTTATGCCCCTACCCTCACCTGGGAGGAAAAAAGATTTTAAAGTAATGAAGGGTCTATTAAATCTATTTAATCAATACATCTTCACTTTTTTAAAGCTAAGTCTAAAGCCACTGATATCTTTAGATCACATGTGTGCTCCTGCAAATACCTTCTTGGCAACTCCTCCAGGCCTCTACAGCCCTTCAGAAATGTTTATGTTCTTGACTCCCAGTCCTGGCCAAATGAGCTCTGTAATATGGTACAGCCTGAAATAAAACATTTTCCCAGTTAACAGCTCAGGCATTGCCTCTTAACCACTCTGAGGTTTTACCAGGAGGTTCCCTGCTCCCAGTCATTGCTTGGTTTTGGTTCTTCCCTCTTGATTTATGCCATGCTGTCACAAAGTGCTACCCCCCGTATTTAACCCACTACAGTCCCACAACAAACACTTGGATGGTGCAGAACAGCCAGGGCTGGAGCAGCCTCACACACGATACTTTAACCACTGCCACTCAGATCTGGAATGCTCTTCCAGCATATGCAGAGACACAGCTTCCTTTTTTTCCGAGTAAAATTCCTTCCTCCTTCTATCTTTGAGACCCACTTCACTCCTTTGTATCTCCTAACAGATCAGATCTCTTTGCTGTCTCTTTCTCTCATTCCCTCTGGCATTTGTTTTGCCCTGGACAGGAACCAGCTCTCCTTTCTTGGCTTCAAGTGTTTTCCTTTCACTCTCTCGAACATAAACCACCAATTTCCTCATTAATTAATTTTTCCAATTTCACCCCTGCAGAACAATTGTCCTGTGTCTTTCCCTTGGCTGAATGGAGACTGCAGGGCGTGCGGGTGCCATCTCTGACGCCTGGCAGAACTCTGCCATGGCAGAGACAAAGCAGATAAAACACATAACTAATAAAACAGCAAATGCCAAGTCAGAGTTGCTGAGTTTTCTGGCCAGCACCTGCTGAGGATGAAGGCTTTAACGAGCAGTTCAGTGCTGGGTTTCAAGCCCATTGTTATTAGCATTAAGTTTACTGGCATTACTGAATTAAGCATTTCATTCTTAATGAGAATTTAAAAAAAGAGTAACAATTCATTACTTTTGTTCTGTAAACCTAATTCTAAATTGTCAGCATTATTGTATTTGTATATTTTTAGAAAATCTGCTGCAAACACATCATGTGATGGTCATCCAAAGGAAGATTTTTGGCAACAACAAAACCATTTCTTTTTTTAAAGGCTTTGGCTGGCAGCACAGTGACACAAGGATCCCCCAAGGGTCATCTCAGTCCCAGCAACCTGAACAGCACCCAGAACACTGCCTCCTCCTCTGTTCTTACCAAAATACCCCGTGGGGAAAAACTCCTTCTCCCCTTTCAGCCTGCTTTTCTCTCCTGGCTGCCTGGACCATGGAGAAACCTTCCTCAGCAGTCCCACCAGAAACTCCTCTGAGTGCTGCCTTGTATGTAGGAATAGACTCATGGAATATCTTGAGTTAGAGGAGAGCATCAGAATCCACTTCTCTGCTGCTCACAGGACCACTCACAACTAAACTGTATGACCAAGCATCTTCCAGGGAGATTCAGGGAACATCCCTGGGATGGCACCCACAGGGATCATTGAGTCCAGCTCCTGGCCCCTCACAGACAGCCCAACAATCCCACTGTGTCCCAGAAACTATGTGTGAACAACCTGAGCAATTGTCTGCCCTCTTCTCTTGTGTGTCAGAGCAGCAAAGGGGTGGTAGAAAGTCCAGCAGTGCTGGGCAGTGGGTGTGGAGGGAAATCTAAATATGAAAACCCACATACTCAAAAACATCCTGGGAGGTGAAAAATGCCCAAACTGCACCGCCCCAAAACCTTTAAATCAATTCCAGAATTGACAATATCCAGTAGAACAAAAAATTAACTATCTCCTGTTTCATAGCACTGTAATTATTGTGAGGAAATGGAATTTTTTAAGACTGCTAATATTGTGATTTCAAACACATTCACTGAATTATTACTTTGTATGCTTTGACCCTGAGATTAGCTCAATTGGCTGGAGCATGATGCTGATAACACCAAGGTTGTACATTCAATCCCTGTATGGGCCATTCACTGAAGAGCTGGACTTAATGATCCTTGTGGGTCCCTTTCAACTCAGAACATTCTGCAATCTGTAATCTGAACCAAAATGCTTTAAAATTTGGTAACTGCACTAAAAGCCAAAACATGTTCTTTAAAATGCAGTTTGATTTACTTAGGGAAAAGTATTTTGAGAGGGGGAAAAGAATACCCTTGTCGAGCACGTATACAATCATAACCCTAATTCTAAGGGAAAGCCCTTAAGAGAAGTCATTCTTGAGACTTGCTGGCTGTTAGGAGGAACCCTGGAATGCTCTGGGTTTGAGGGACCCTAAAGCATCTCAAGAGATACCTCCCACTAGCCCAGGCTGCTCAGAGGAACAGACACCACACTGGGCTGCTCAGGAACTCTCTTCCCCTGCATTAACATTCCTATATTGAAACAATATCCCTGACAAAGCTGATGCTACCACACTCACCAGGGAACAGAATTTACTCTGAGCTGACAAGAAAGCCATTAAGAAAACAAGATAAGCATAAAATTTACTTCTTGGGCCCCTTTCTTCCAGGAGTGCTCAATTGCTGCAGCTCTGCCAACAACCTCCCCTTGGGGTGCCTGAACAATCTCTTGATTATTTAATGCATTACTCAGCAGAGAGGAGAAATTAGTCAGGAAATCAGATGAATAAGCAGAGTATATGAAGGCAAAGAGCAGCTTTGATCAGGGACACTTAAGACTCCATAACTTCCCCAGAGCGCTGCCTGACAAGCCCCATTTAAGTGATGTGAAATAGCACGAAATACCAACAGACTGAATTTCACAACAACCAAACTGGGTTGGGCATATGTCGAAATCTTTGTTCATCACCTCAAGCTCTGAATTAAATGCAGAGACCCTGCACATCCTTCAGCGGAGTCCTTAACAACAGCAGCTCAGAAATTATTTACAGAACTATCACCAGTTACACAGGATCTATGATACACTGATTTCCCCTTATCATTCCCCCCTTTCTGCTACTTAATCTGCTAAACAGGATTGTCAGGGAAAAAATGCCCCAGCTGTTTGACACTTTTCTCCCCCTTCTTTTCTGTTACACCAAGTTGAGTACCAGCAAAACCTGCTAAAAACAGCTGCTCTTTACAACGTGGTGGCTCTCCCAAGCATAAGATCTGACATTCCGCTTTCCTGGAAGTGGAACATCCAGTCCTGCTGATCATCCAACCCAGCTCAGGCTGATGGCATTTCCCTGTCTCCTGGCCCCTCTTGGCATGCCAAAACACTGCATGTCGTGTGTCAGCAGAATTGAGGGAAATGAGAAAAGATCTTCTGGCACATCTGGCTGGTACAACAAATCCCCAAACTGGTCATTTAACGAGACAAATATATTGCAAACACACCCAGAACCCAGTGGGGAAACAAGTACATAAAGACTTCAAGGCCAAACTCCTGCCTGACCAGCTTACAAATGTCCTGTTTTCCTTTCATGCCCAGGATCAAGGAGAACTACCCGTGGTGAGAATGAATGCTTATAAATAATAATTAGCACCACTCAGCTTCAAAGCTTTTTTACAAATATTAACTGCTCATTGCTCCTAAGAGCCCTGGGAAGCACTGCAGGGAAGCATTTTATGAGAGAAAACAGGGACACAGAGGCAGAGACCTAATCCTCAGGATGAGAGCAGCAGGCCCACTGCCTACTCAGGTGTTACTCTGACTTGGAGCACGTTCACCCTCAGCTCCCCAGCCCTGCACCAGCAGCTCCCCTGTGCTAGCAGGACAAACACTCCCAGGTTACCACCCTCCTTAGAGGGCTCCTTCCATGCACGTTTCCACCCTCTGGGAAGTGTAAATTGGCTGGTAGCACAGAATGGCTCAGGAGCAGTGAACAGGCACCCTGATGATGTCTTTCCTCTCTTCTCTGTGACAGTGAGCATGCTCAGCTTCTGAAGGATCAGGTCCACAGAGGAGCTGAAGCCTCACAGCTGGATTGTGGGAGCTGGGCACTCAGGAGCAGCAAAAGCCCCATGTCACATTGAGCACTAAAGAGCAGAGAAAGAACTCCTCCAGTGAGAGAACGGCTGGAATTTCAATTTTTTTGAAGGAATCGGTATCAGAATCAAAAATCAAAATTCCCATCGGGCTCTGCCTGCTGGTTTTGCCAGATTTGAAGCATGTGGGCCCCTCCTTCCTCTGGAAGACAATAATGTCAAGAATGAGCTGTGCAACTGCACAAACATCTCTGTTCTCCAGACCCTGTGCTGGTGGTCCCACTGAAATCATCTCTATTTGAAATTGTCTAGAGCCTTGTCTTTTGCTGAGGGAAGATCATGGAAGTCGTATGTAAATTGTTTTTAATCACAAAGCGGAAACACTTTAATTTTGCAATGCACCATTGGTACAAACAATTCATGCTGCAAATGCTTTGCAGAGATAAAGAGGCTGATCCCTGTTCTTTGCAATCCTGAAGGAAGTGTTCTGGAATGTAAAGAGGCTGTGACATTTTCAGCACGTTATTCTTCCCTACCCTAAGGAATCTAAAGCACTTCCAAAGCCACTTCCCAATGCATACAGCTCTCACCCCAGTACTGGAAGAGCTGAATGGCTTCACTTGCACAGAGCACCATGACCAAGGTTATGTGTGCTGTGAAAAGAAACGCTGCAACGTGGCTAGCAGAGAATACTCTTTTAGATACAGCACATTTATTAAGCAAGAGAAAACAAGGACATCAGTACAAATGTACTGGTTTCTGGGTTTTATTTATTGTATTGCAGAAATACAATATTCTATTATATTTATAAAGACATATTCCTTATCATTGGATTTTTTTTTAAAGAGCCATTATAGAGTTAGGTATGAAGAACTTCAAAGAAAAATCATGAAAAGCCTAGCTGCCAAAATCCATTGAGAAGTAAAGCCCTTGCTATAAGACCTGACAGCTTTTACAGGGTTTCACTGTCATCTGGCATGGCAAGAGAGAAGATGTAAGAGAGTAAAATAGTGGGAATGAGTATCTTTACTTCACCATTTGGTTTGTAAACGGTGAAGAAGGACCAGCAGTGAGTGAATCAGCTGGTGAACAATCCTCCCCTCTTCCTAAACCACAGCCTAACCATCATGACTGAAATAAAACTCCAAACAACTAATTTTTAAGGTGACAACACTCCTTTAAGTCTACAAAAACATTCCCATGTACAATTATTCTCAGAAATATGAGCAAGCAGGAAACACGCGTACGCAGGGTGTGCCTGACCTAATTCCACAGTCCTACACTGAGAACAAGATGGATTTCTAATGGAACTGCACGTCCTTCCACAGTAGCTAAAGCCTGGTTTTAATTTGTGTCCTGGTTTAACCCCAGATGGCAAGTGAGCCCCAAACAGCCACGTGCTCACTGTTCCCTGGTGGGATGGGAAGAGAACTGGAAGGGTAACTTGTGGGTTGAGATCCAGATATTTTAATAGGTAAAGGAAAAGAGGA